GTGGCTGCAGCCCCCAGGCAGTTAGGTCTGCGCTGAGAAAGGGGAGTCCGCTGTGCCGAGGAGGAGGGAGGTCTGAGGGAGGGGAGTGCCGAGAGATCAAAGGATCGTTTCTCACCTTCCCCAAACAAGTCCCTGGGTGACCCGAGACCAAGGTTTTCACCTCCGGCGATGTTCCCTGTTGTTTAGAAAGTCTCTCCGTTGTTTCCCTGGCTTCAGAAGTTCTTCCACTCATCAACTCAGAACTTTTTCTCTTCCACAGCTTGGAAACTGTGTGTGCTAGTCGCCATCTTGGCTCCGCCCCCCATCTCTACAATTTCTATAAAGCCATAAAGTCAAGTGAAAGGGAGCCTGTTTCAAGATCAGTCTAAGCCAATCTCAACACAGATTAACAGCGCATTTGCATACACACTATAAATGAATTTCACACATGAAAAATCTTCAAATACAGATCAAATTGATTTAAACATATGCTTATTTTTCAAACTGGAGATTTCTCATCTTATTAATGTCCTTCAGTTCTCTGAACACAGGTGAGGCTGACCCTGCACGAGGTCACAACAGGCAGGGAAGTGAACCACGAAGAGATGAGAGTGAAAGCTTGCTTCAGAGAGATGTTGTCAAGCTGGAGTACATTTCTAGGGAGTCTGATGACAGAGGTTTACTGTCAACAGATTTAAACGCAGTAAGATAAGGGAAAAAGTTTTCTGGTGTAATATAACCTTAGTGCACAAGAAAGCATAATTACACTGAAACTCAACTCAAGGTATACTTCATTTCTGGAACTCCAAAAGATGGATTCTAGAGATAAGCTACCTGCATTAGCTTGAGGGCCTAAGGAAGGATTTGGCAAAATCTCAGACATACAGGTAGTGTAGAGGTCATTTACACTGTTAGGTGTTTGTAGGAGTGATACCTAATATTATCACTTAGGGTCATTTGGATTGCTAGCCACCTCCAGTCTTTGTTGTAGGAGCTTGATACTGCCTGGCTCAACAGATATCATAGATCACCAGGCTCTTAATAAATTCTAATTCCCAGCTTTCTGGATAGAAGAACAGACTTTACCATTGGGCTTTTCCCATTGGAAAGACAATCCTGTGTGCTTAACATTTCTGGTTACTCTAGAGATATTTTAGTAAATAAAAGAGTGTGTGTTTGGCTGTATAATGTTTATTATTAGCCTTAAGATTATGACGGTGGTAATATTTAACCTGCTATCACAAATAATAATACACAGACACCTTTTAGATTTTATAATTGCCTATTTACCTTGGGCCATGCAGGTATTTCATTTACGCTGTCTCAATAACTTCACTGTCCATCTCCCAGCCCCCATCCAATGCCTTCTACCTTAATCATACCCATCTGGACGATCTTCCGTCCATAATCTTATGAATAACTACTTTTATTCTTCATCTGTGCCTTTCCACCCCTTTATTGGAGTCCTTCCTCCCAGCTCAAGTGGTTCCATCTCCACTTGACCCATTGTGGCCTCATCCTTCCTTCTTTATTCCTAACTGTAGCCCTGGGAAACTTAGCCATGCCTACCCCATTCTGCCCTGCCTGGGTGTAGGCCATTTAATCAACCAATCAGATATAATGACTTAGGCAGTTTTAGAGAACAAGGATAGGTTTACACAAGGATAGGTTTAACCAGATCTTGACGGCCAGTTTCAGCCTATCCTCCAATGTAGAGATCTGTGAATGCAAGGACATTTGTTCAGTGCTTCCAACAAACACATTAATGAGTAGTATCTGAACTTCTAATATGTATAAATTTTTGTTAAATATACTTTCTGGATAAAGCAGATTATAAATTATTTTTAATTTGGCTTTTATCTCGATTGTTTAAATTGGAAATTTACCTCTTAAATAACATATCAAGACATGTATCTGCTGATACATGATTGAACCAGAAAAAATACCAATTTTTATTATTCAATATATACAAATATATATATATATAATTATAGTTTAGAAAAAAATGGGGAAAACAAATGACTTCTCTATGATCATAAAATTTATACAAAGGTTTAATCAAAATTATTTCAGAAATAGCATGTTCTCAGAAAAATAACCTTTCCAAGGAAACTTTAATACCCATAAATGTTAAATAGCCTCTTAGTATCTTATGCAATATACTTAGTGAATTAAAACATCTGTGCTCTTAAAAAATAGACTAACAATGCTGCTTTGATACAGCTTGGGTGTTTTTATAATGTGTGAAGCACTCTACTTTGTGAGAGTATGAAACTTTAACCTCTCAGAGCTGTGAGCATGTGGACATCTTTAGGTCAGAATCCACAAAATGTATGATGTCAAGAGGAACATATTTAGACACAGAAATTACATGTAAGCACTTAACTTTAGATAGAATGTAGAAAATAATAACCAGCTCTATTTTATTTGCAACCTCTGCCAGTTGCCTCAGTGATTAAAAAATAATGTACATTGATCTAAAAAAATCTGGATGATTAATAGTGTTTTATGTGTACATGGTGTATCTGTAAATTAGCCTATGTGTTTGCAGTTTTAGACCAAAACTTTTGGGAAACTGTACACTTGGCATGGCATGCAATGAAGCAAGAATGCACACACGTTTTTGCATTTGTTTTATCTGTAAAGAAATAATGTATAAATAATGTAAAGAAAGCATGTAGCAGGACTCTTCAGGATAAAAAAATGCTATTAATATGGAAACATTAAACAGTGATTTAGAAATTCCTTTTAACTACATGCTTCTTTCATTTACTTCATGTTTTCTTAAAATATACGTAAGTAATTCTCAAAATAAGTTACCCTCATTTCCAGGAAATATTTGTGTTTCAATGTAATTTATTTTTACACTGTTTATGGAGATTTGGGAGCTGTACAAAAAGAAGAGCAAAGTTAAAACTTTGCCACTGAAAGGTTTTGGAATTTACTAATATTCTGATAATTGAGAAATAATTCATCTGTTGATGAACATGTCTTAGCAACTGTCATATTTATTTTTCAGAAAGATACAAAACTTTAAAATATCAAGTTATTTTTTTCTTGAAGTACATTACAGCTATTCAATGCTATAAGAGCATTGAATAGGTGCCTAGAAATTCATGAAAAGGGATTATGGTAAATAAGTTGTGATGTTTAAGGACCGGCTCTGGTTTAATTTTCTTCTCTCACCCTCTTTTTAAGGTTCAAAAAGACAATACTTGTGTTGATTACCTACTTTTTGTTGTAATTGTAAGACACTTTCCCGTGAACAGCGTCTGTCTCTTAATCACACATAGCAGCAGGTACCGAGCAATTGATCTGCCCCGTTCTCACTCTGAGCCACATGCACAAAAGGAACTACATGAAGCAAAACACTAATGAGTTTTAAAGTAAATGAGGGGGAGTTTTTTTTTTTTTCCACTTGAATTAACAAGGATAGAAAACTTAATGGAAAGGCACTCTGAACTTGTGTATTCTAATTAATACAGGCTATTTTTGTTGTGAGTTGCTCTTGCTGCTGATGTTAATTACCACTTTAAAGAAAGTATTTCAGAAATATAGTATATAAAGAAAAAAAAAGACTGTTCTTCAGAAAAGGTTATTATACATTTCTTTGGCTATATAACAATAGAAGATTTATTTCTTATAATTAAAGTAGAACAGAGCCAATTGAAGGGAAGCTAGACAGAAAGAAGGTGATGAGGGATTTCGACAGGTACTGGAAGAGCTGGATGATTAAGAAAAAAATGTTATTTATGAAAATATCATAATAAAACTCTTTACTTTCTGTGTTGATTCAAAAATAATTAAAAGAAGAGTGTGTTCTGTATCTCAAGCTAGAAATGGTTTTGACTCAGTACAAAGGAGAGCTTCTCACAAGGCCTGAATATTTATTTTAAGATGCTATGACAATTCTCGTCAAACAGAAAAGGACCCACACATTCCTCTACTAACAGTCTCTCCTTGTAAATTAATTAAAATGTCCATAATAGGTCAATTGACATGAAGTTCTTGGTATCTGTCACTTATTCAAATTCCAACATGGGGTCTTATTAAACCCATCTTAGACAGTTGACAGAGAGAGTATCACACTCACCACCAGGAAGCAAATCAGTTTTGTATTACAGAAATATTAAAGGGTCATGGAGTCAGAGCTGAAATGAAGTGACCCTGGACACGGAATCATGTGCATTTAATTCTAGTATTTGAGAAGCTGAAGCAGGAGTTTGAAGCCAGCCTAAGGTTCATTGAGAAACCCTGTGTCAAACTAAGAACTTATACTGACTTACGACCCAAAGTTCTCAAAGAAAAGAAATTATGAAGAAATGATTCTCCATCACAGCTCCCTGTCAATAACTGGAAGTCTTCTACGTTTGGTCTCCACGTAAATTCTGTTCGTGATGGCTGGGGTGTTGAAAGAGAAGGTGGGAGGAAAAATATAAAGAGATCAGCAGAGAGGAAGATGTTTTAAAAAGAGGCACATGTGTTCCTCACAGTGGACCCGAAGAGACCTGAATTCCACAAAAGCCTAAAGTCTTTTGGAAGAGATTTTCAGCTCGTTAGACCAGTTATGAATCAATGGAGAGTATGACCACAGGTATACTTGGCACTACTTAGCCATGCTTATCTCAGGCCCAGGACCTCAAGAGTTGAATTAATAATTGTTAATAATAATAAAGAATGACTCCATGGGTCATTAGGAATGTTTAAGACACAGTAAAAAGTACCCAGGAGTCAGGCTTTAGGTAGCAAGGGTAAGATAATAAAAATGTGAGAATTTTGTGTTTTATTTTTAGCTCTTTTTGGTTCAGATAATAGATAATATTTTTCTTGTATAAATATAACAGACAATATTTTTCGTGTGTAAAGAAATATTTTTCTTGTATAAAGATGATATAGATAGTATTTTTCTTGTGCAAAGAGGCTGGTCTCTGAATTCTCACCTCGACTCTTACATCTGAGAAGTTCCAGGTACTTTGTACAACTGCTGTCTGAGCTGTGTGTTTTCAACATCTTTGTAAGCGATGGCTGTCATCAGGAAGAAACTGGTGGTTGCTGGTGATGGAGCTTGTGGTAAGGCCTGCTTGCTCATAGTCTTCAGCAGAGACCAATACCCAGAAGTCTATGTGGCCACAGTATTTGAAAGCTATGTGGCAGATACTGAAGTGGATGGAAATCAGGTAGAGCTGGCTTTGTGGGACACACCTAGACAGTAAGATTGTGATTGCTTGAGGCCTCTCTCCTGTCCAGACACGGATGTTATATTTATGGGTTTCTCCATCGACAGCCCTGATGGTTCAGAAAACGTCCCAGAAAAATGGACTCCAGAAGTTAATCATTTCTGTCCAAATATGCCCATCGTCCTCGCTGGGGGCAAAAAGGGTCTTCTGAATGGTAAGCACACAGGGCAGGAGTTAGGCCAAATGAAGCAGGGGCCGGTAAAGCCTGAAGAAGGCAGAGATGAGGCAAACAGGATTCACGCTTTTGGGTTAATGGGGTGTTCAGCAAAGACAAAGATGGACTGAGGGAGGTTTTTGAGAAGGCCATGCGAGCTGCTCTGCCAACCAGACGTGGCAAGAAAAAAAATCTGGGTGCCTCATCTATCGAAGCCTTGTGATGACCAGCCTCGTGTGGCTAATTTAAAGTGCTGTTTATTAATCTTAGTGTATGATTACTGGCCTTTTCATGTATCTATAATTTACTTAAGATTGTAAATCAGAAGCCACCTTGCTACTGGTATTTAGAAGCCAACTATGATTATTAATGATGTCCAATCTGTATGACCAGCCAGGGTCTTTTCTGACATTGCTCTAACAGCCCTCTCTGCCCTCCACCTGACACCAGGAGCTAATTCAAAGAATTTCTTAACTTCTTGCTTCTTTCTAGTTAACTTTATTGAACTAGGCTGTAACTACTTTATAGCTAACATGCCCCGCCTATCATCTGTCAGCTGCAAGGTGACCGGCAAGTCATCCCTTAGAGTGAACTCCTTAACAGATTCCATCGGCAGGGTTCTCGGGTGGGCATCTAGTAATTTGAAAACTTGCACAGCCAGAAAGGCCCAAGTCTGCCAGCTGTGGCAGAGTTACAATTCTGTGGTCTCATATTTGTTACCTTATAGTTACTGGGTAATTAGTGCCTCTTAATGCATGTTACCAAAAATAAATATATCTGTGCCAAAACAAAACTGTGTTGAAAATAATGACATTGAAGCATTCTAAATAGTGTAGTTTAGAAATATTGAAAATAATCCCATTAATACTAAATATAATTTTAAAAGTATATATTTTTAATTATCTCATGGAAAATCAACTGTCATAATGTTTCAAAATACATTTTGATTAGTATATAGAAAAACTAAACTGAGAAAAATCAAAACTCATGAAACAAACATTAGATAACTGTCTTTCAAATACTTAGTAATTTATGACTTAGTCATACCAAAGGAAAAAAAAATCACTGGACAGAGTAAAATAACTTCACTCCATTCTTTTGTTTGTAACTAAATTCCAGACTGCTAGGTTTTCTTCAATACCCCCTTTCCCTAAGTCCACAGATGTTTGCTTATAAATACTTGGAAAACGGTTATTAATCTAGTGGATGCCAAGCTTTGTTTTAGCTCATCTGTTTCTGGTCGGGAGTGGAAAAGGAAAATAAAAGCCACAGAGTAGCCACTGTTATAAAACTACAAACACTGCTGATTATTTGGGACTACCAATCCAAGGTAAAGTATGGAGTCAAAACAAAATAGAGACCAGGAAATATCTTACGAAAAGTTATTACTTGTGTAAGTAGGAATACAGAACAAATTGCATATGATTAGCATACAACCTGAAGCAGGGAAGATAGTCGCAGCAACCTTTTTCTCATAAAAGCCTTTGGCAAAGGAAAATGCTAAGTTGCAATTTGCCCTGATTATATGTAATGAGGCTTCTGAGTTAAAACTAACCAAATTATGTAACACAGCTAATTATATGTAAACTTAATTGTCTTAGGTCAGCTTTCCTAGAAAAACAAAACAAAACAAAACAAACAAACAAACAAACAAAAAACATGAGAGGTAGGTTTGCATGCAAGCAATTTATAAGAAGTTTAAAGGAGGAGAATTGACCAGAGACAAGATTTGAGTAGCAGTGCAGAAGCCAATTTAATCAATCTGGTGGTCTGTGACCCTGGAGAAGAGCTTGAGACTTTCTCTGCCTTTATTGCTATAGAGCATTCAGATTTTGAGTGGGAGCTGCTCCAAAGAGAGGGTGGGAAGTGACAAGAACATTCTGCTAAGATCACAGCTCTAAATACTCCAAGCATCTGGATTGGAGCCCTGACTTCAAGACTGAATCTTGTCCCAGAAATGAGGCATAGTCTTTATTCCATCCATGCTAATGCTTTACTCTGTAGTTCTCATGTGACTGGTTCTAAGGGGAGGTCCTGCAGCACCACTGTCCTTTCAGAAAGGAAGGTTAATGGAAGGAAACACAGAGGCTCCAGGAGATGCTAATTTACTATCTTATAGAAGTCTTCAAGGTTTCTACCATCATCTAGCCTGACTGATGCAGAGACTAGAAACTTCCACCAGAAGACATCAAGTACCTGATTGCTCTGACCTTTTTTTCTTTTTATATTTAACTGCATTTTTATTTTTAAAATATTAGCTACAGTTTATTAACTTTGTATTCCAGCTATAGCCCACTCCCTCATCCCCTCCCAATCTCACCCTCCCTCCCTCATCTCCTCCCTGCCCCTTTTCAAGTCCACTGATAGGGGAGGAGGACTTCCATCTGACCCTGGCTTATCAGGTATATTTAGGAATGGCTGCAAAGTCCTCCTCTGTGGCATAGCAAGGCTGCTCCTCCCTGGGAGTGGGGGGAGGTCAAGGAGCCCACCATTGAGTTTGTGTCAGAAATATTTCCTCTTTCCCTTCCAAGGGTACCCCACTCAGAGACTGAGCTACCATGTGCTACATCCAAGCAGGGGTTCTAGGTTATATCTATACATAGTCCTTGGTTGGAGACACAGTCTCATAAAAGACCGCTGTGCACAGATATATTTGGTCCTTGTGGAACTCCTCTCCTCTCTAGGTCATAGTAACTCCCCCTTCTTTCATATGATTCCCTACACTCTGCGGAAGGTTTGGTTATGAGTCTCAGCACCTGCTTTGAAACACTTCTAGGTAGAGTCTTTCAGAGGCCCTCCGTGGTAGGCTCCGACCCTGAAGTTTCACCTTACATCCATCAGAATGGCTAAGATCAAAAACTCAAGTGACAACTCATGCTGGAGTGGTTGTGGAGTGTAGAAAGGGGAACCCTCCTCCATTGCTGGTGGGAATGTAAACTTGTACAACCACTCTGGAAATCAATCTGGCGCTTTTTCAGACAACTAGGAATAGCGCTTCCTCAAGATCCAGCTATACCACTCCTAGACATATCCCCAAAAGAGGCTCAAGTACACAAAAAGGACATTTGCTCAACCATGTTTGTAGCTGCTTTATTTGTAATAGCCAGAAGCTGGAAACAGGCCAGATGCCCCTCAACTGAAGAATGGATGCAGAAATTGTGGTACTTTTACACAACAAAATACTGCTCTGAACTTTTAAGGCTATGGGTACTGCACAAGGCTGTAGATCAGGTAAATTCTAGAAGTTCTCTTTTGTTTATTCTTTATACAGTTTAACTCTGTTCTTTGTGTGTGTGTTGCTAGAGTGGCAGTGATTCTCCTGAGATCAATTGTAAACAAAAATTTTATGTTTAAACAACATTGCCAACTATGGTTCCAGGAGCACCAGCAGCTCTCTTGAATTTAGTCATCATGAACTATAGAGAGTTTATAAGAACTAAAGAGCAAATTTCCACTGTGTATTCTCTTTAGCCTCTGGAAGCCACTATGCAATTCTGTACTTCTGTTTGATGATTTTGAATCTCACTTAAGTGGACTCATGCAGTTTTTATACCTCAGTTCTGAGTATTTTCCCTCTGCTTAATGTGTTTTCTATAGCAAATAGGAAATAGGATGGTGCTCCTCAAAATGATTCCCCAAAATATTTAACAGCAGGCGATATAGAAATCCCACATTTGGATATTGTTCTCAAGTAATTCAAATCTGGAATTTTTTCAAGATATTTTCACAATTGTATCCACTGCGGAGCTATTTAAGCAGCAAGATATGGAAACAAGTTCAGTGTAGTGAGGGTGTAGGTGTTGAAAGAGTGGGAAAGAGCAGAAACATGAAGCCTTCCTGGCTGGTTTTACCAGTGAATGGAATCCTGACACATACAATAACGTCCATAAACTTTGAGGAAATTATGTCAAATTAAAACCAATCTATATCATTTTAAATGCCTCCCCTTGATATCAGTGTGGTAAATTACATCTACTGATGTCAGATGCTTTCTGTTTTCAACTGGTATAAAAAAAAAAACTATGAAGCAAAATTAGTAACTGATTGTCTTAGTTTTGCACTGGTTTTACTCTTTGTGAATTCTCTTACTGATTAATTTCTATTCTAGAATTCAAGATGTAAGTATTATAGTCTAGACCTATGTATTAAGAAAACACACAGCAGAGATCTAATGCTACTTCACTTCCCCTTAATGCCTGCTCTCCTGTTAGTATGTGCAACTGAAACTTGTAAGCGTTAATGTATCCTTTCCCCCCCCCCCTCGGGTAGTTTATAACCTAGATTTTGTTTGATAATCCATAAAATAATTGAAATTCATTCTGCTTGTTTGTTTGATCTTTGTTTGTTTGTTTGTTTTTTTCAGGGGAAAGGGTTTATTTCAGCACACACTTCCAGATAACAGTCTATCACCAAGAAAAGTCAGGGTAGGAACTCAAGGCATGAAGCTAGAGGCAGGAAATTAAGGAGAGGCCATGGAGGATTCCTGCTTCCTGGCTTGTTCCTCATGGTTTGCTCATAATGCTTTATTTTTATTTTTTTAATTTTTTTATTATTATTAATTACTCTTTATTCATTTTGTATCCCCCCCAGAAGCCCCTCCCTCCTCCCCTCCCGATCCCACCCTTCCTCCCCCAACAGGTGATACTGGTGAGCATACAGGCAATTTTTTTTTCTATTTTCCAGGGAGGCTTCATAATCTCAGAACTCGTTCTTGGCACAGTCTGTTCTGTGCCTGATAAAATTTGAGATTGAGCTCAACCTCCTAATTACCTCACTTACATTACTTTTATTTACATAATTATGGCTGGAAAAGTAGCCCATGACTATCTTTTATTCCATGTATTGATCTCGTTACTCTCTTATTATCTACTCTGTAACACTACTTCTGTCATCTTTTCAGTTAATACTGCAATGTAGTAAAACTTCCCAAAGCCATCTCTACTCCATCAGCCATCACCATGCTTTCCTCAGCTTTCATCTGTACCCAGTTTTATTAC